ATATGTTGGAGAAAAGACAGCTTCTTTGCCAAATGGTGCTAGAAAAACTAGACACATACAGATAAAGACTAAACCTAAATCCCTATCTTTTATCCTGAACTAATATCAATTCAAAGTGAAACAATGATCTTAGTGTAAGACCTGAAACTATTATAGAAAAGAATATGGAAAACACTGGAAAGTATAAGTGTAGGCAATACTTCCCAAGTAGAACTCCAATATCTCAGTAAATAAGAGAGAGAATTGACAAATAAGATTGCATCAAACTAAAAAGCTTCTGTCCAGCAAATGAAACACTCCCTAAACTGAATAGTTGGTCTGCAGAATTGAAGAAAATCTTTGCCAGCTGTACATCTGACAAGTGATTAATAACCAGACTTTACAGACAGCTCAAAAAACTATATTCCTAAAGAATCAACAACCCAATGAAAAAATGGGCAAATGAACTGAACACACCATTTTACGAAGATAGAAGTACAAATGGCCAATAAATACATTTAAAAAATTCTCAACATCCCTGGCAATAAAGGAAATGCATATTAACATTGAGTTTTCACCTCACTAGTCAGAATGGCTATGATCAAGAACACAAGCAACAACAAATGTTGGTGAGGATGGAGGTGGGGGAGGAACCCTCATACACTGTTGGTGGGAATGTAAATTAGTACAACCACTAATGGAAAGCACTGTGGAAGTTCTTCAAAAACCTAACAACAGAACTACCATACTATCCCGTGATACTATTGTAGGGCATGTAAGTCAGAATACAATAGAGACACTTGCACATCCATATTACCGCAGTACTATTCACAATAGCCAAGCTATGAGAACAGCCCAGATGTCATATAACTGATGAATGGGTTAAGAAAATGTGGTATGTATACACAATGGAGTATTATTCAGCCATAAAAAGAATGAAATTATGTCCTTTTCAGGTAAATGGATGGAACTGGAGATCAGTGAAGTAAACCAGATTCAGAAAGACAAAAGCTGCATGTTTTCTCTCATATGTGGAAGATGGATCCAAATGATAAACATACACAAATACAAACATGATTTATGTATATATATTTATTCATTTATTATATATTATGTAAATACATATTTAATGCATATTTATTACTATATAATATTTAATATTTATTTATATATAGAGAGAGAACATGTTGACAATAGTGAGACTGTTTGAGGGGACTGTATTGAAATACATTGTATTTGTTTAGAGACATGACATAATGACATGCACTGAAAGCTGTTGACTGATATGGGGTGGGGGGAAAGGGTAAGTGAGAGTAATAGAGAAGGGTTAATCTGATCAAAGTACAATATATTCACTGGTGAAATATCATGGCAAAACCCTTTGAACAATGAGTACACACTTTAAAAATGAAGTGCAGGAAAAAAGCAGGTTGTGTTAGGGGTGTATACTAGTGAGAAGAGAAGAATGAATGGAGAGGATGAAAGAGTATGTATATGGCCAATGTACTTTATATACTTGTATTAAAATAGAACAATGAAACCTGATGAAATCTTTTTAAGTAGATTGGAGGAAGGGGATGAGGGAGAATGATGGTGGGGGTGAACCTAACCAAGGTACATTGTAAGTACATATGAAAATATCACAATGAAACCCCCTGTACAACTAATATATGTTAATAAAAAAGAATGAAACTGTATAAATAGGAATTGGTGCTATTCACCTTTCAGGCATCCACTGAAAGTCTCAGAACATTTCTGCCTTAGATAAGGAAGGAGGGACCATTCTACTCAGCAAATACTCTGTACTAGAACATTGCTAAGCCTTAATTACACCAATATGGCACCTGTAAATACTTATAGCTCAGCAGAGAGACATACACATTCAAATAAATTTGAATATCAACGTGACCAATGAAACAGTGGAAGTACATACAAGTTTAAGAGTAGTTCAGGAGAAAGCTCTGTATGAGAAGGTATATTAGGAAAGACTTCCCAGAGATTTCCTATTGGAATTTGAAGATGAAAAAGGATTTCCCCAAGCAGACAAGAGGAAAAGGGCATAAATTAAAGGCCTAGAGACAAGAATTGTAAAGTTTTGAAGAAGTAAAAGTATTTTCAGGAGTACTAGATGATTTGTGAAAGAAAATAAGCTGAAAAATTTAGGCAAAGACCAGATCATGAGGAAAGTCTTAAATGTCATTTTAAGGAGTTATCTACCAGGTGATAGTGAGCCAAAGACGACAAATGCCTTTCATTTTATTTCCTGGATTAGAAAAAAATATATTATCATATACTCAACAAATATCAGTTGAGCCCATACAACACCTCAGGCATTTTTCTGGGCATTGGACTATTTAAGAGTTGTGGCTTAAAGCTCATTGTAAAGGATATTTTTGTTAATCAGATAGATAGCTTGGATTTCATTTATAGTTTCTATTTCCTATTGATTTTTGGCATAAACTTGCAGGACAGTATTTCTAACTCTGTTGCTAAAGCCAACAGCAACACTTTGAATCATTTCTGCCAGGCAGCAGATTTTTCAGCAGCACACTTCCTAAACTGTAATTAGTTTTCTATAAAGGGCAAATTATTCCTTTCCAAATTTCAGTCTTTATTATATTTTGTCATACATTAATATCTATACATTTCTATTTGGATTTAACTCAAACTAATTCACATCTTTTCAGCCTAAAAACTCTTTTATTTAAAATAGAGTTTTCTATTACAAAAGAAGAAACTAAGAAAAATTTCCAAGATGAACTTAATAGGCATCAGGGAGGGGTAAGAAAGATCATTAGATGGGAGAAATAATGCATGAAAGAGTTAACACATTCTAAGTATTACCTAAATAAGCAACACTAAGAAAAAAAGTACATGTCTGGATGTTGAATCACAGAACTCATAGAGAATTGACATTGATATTGATAATGGCCATTAGTTGATTACATACTACGGGCTCAAAAGATCAAGGAAGACTTGACATTTCAAAAATCAAGGATGACAAAGAAATGAGCAACATCTTAGTTACTTACTACAATTACACATACTAAAAATGATATACTTTTAATATACAAAGCTTATTCCCAAATGAGTTGCATACCAGTGTCCTACATACTTGAAAAATATCCTTCACACTTGATGAAAACAATGATCTGAAGCTGATTGCTAATTTGGTACAAAGAGAAGGTTTCTCAATTTGGATTTGGTATTATGAAGGTTTTTTCCTATCTCTAGACATAGGTTGGCCTATCAGCTGTATTTCTTGCTGCTAACAAGGGAACTGATCACAATTTTCAAGATAGTGTGCCTGGTGATCCCAGAAGTCTTTTGAAATAAAAAGCTAATTAAGAGGCTCCCTAGGGACTGATCAAAGGCATTCTTTTAGTCTTAGTCCCTTTCTCCCCTTTCTTGATGCCTTATTCCTCCCCTTTCATTTAGCCTGTTCTAAAATGAAAGAATTCCCGTTGTCCAAGTTTCCATCTTTGCTCCCACTACTGTAATACATTATTGGAATGAAGTTTTAAATCCCTAAACGTATGCTTATTTTTAAAGTATTTCTTAAGAGCGCAATAATAAAAATAATTAAAAATTCTTTTAAATTAATAATAAAAATTCTTCTAGCACTCTTTTTCATTTGGATAACAATTTTTTATAATTAATTTTTTTATTAAAAGAGTCTGACTAAAGGTTACACAGCCAGGTGCTAGTGACTCACGCCTATATTCCTAGCTACTTAGAAGGCAGAGATCGGGAGGATCAGGCGTTCTAAGCTAACCTGGATAAATAGGATCATGAGATCCTATCTCGAAAAAACCTAACACAAAAAAGGCTGGTGGAGTGGCTCAAAGTGTAGGCCCTGAGTTCAAGCCCTGGTACTGAAAAAAAAAAAAAAAGAAAGGCTATACAGCCCTTCAAACTTCTTTATAATAAATCTAACAGACATACAATACTTTGTCAAATTTCAGTTTGGTTTTATGTTCTCCTAATTTAAAAGATGGTGGTTGCATGAAACTGGTTGAGTTAAATTACTGCTGTAGCAGGGAGGAGGACCAGAAAAATACAGACAAGTCTGTGTTCTGATAATGTAGCAGGGGGAAGGGTTGGCATAGCAGAGATAAAACTTAACTGAAACATGAAGATGGTCACTAGTACTGGGGGAATGGAATCGCCAGTGAAATCAAATGCAGCCACATGGGGGCTGAGCTTTGCGTTTTGCTTCTGTAACCTGCTTGCAAGGGTGTATAAGGTGAGACCCTTTTGTTCTGGGCTCAGCCTTTGAGTCAGTGCCAGCACAATAAAACATTGCTTCCTGCTAAACTGCCTTAGTGTCCCACATCTCAGCTTGAGATTCCCGCAACTCTGCGGGATTCATACCGACTATGTTTCACTTTGAAACAATTTTAGGGTTGAGTGTTTGTACAATTATCACATTTAGAAACTGATGCACCTTTAAAAACTTGGTATAAACTGTTGTGCAGATTTAAAGTAATCAATGTCATTCCCTTGATAGTAAAATAAAGCACAATAAAGCGCTATTGTTCTTACATCCTCCCCTCACTTGCATGAAAGATTGGTAGGATTGATTTGTGTGTTTCAGATAACCTGGCAAAGATGAAATTGTTCTACCCAATTATGATAATTCTGTGAGAGAGAATTTTCCAATGTTAAGAAACATGTGTGGGCACTGCTCCATTCCTGACAGGCAATTTTTCTCCTGACAACTTCACGTTAAAATTTCAACTTTTAATCTTGGGGCTCAAACTCTAATTTTTACAATATGTCTAAGCTTACCAACACTCCTAACTAGCATCTAAGAGTCAACGTAGGCTTCATGATGCTAAGCCCTTAGCAGACCATGACTTCAGACACCATTCTAAATACCAGACCCGCCTTGCCGCTAGCAGGCAATTTCCCGCTCCCTCTGCGCAACGCTATCGTTGCTCCTGATTGGTGCTCGTGGTTGTCAGTCACATAGAGAGGGCGGGGTTAAACGAGACGCAGTGGTTCTTGCGTCATCGCGGAGCGACGACAGTAGAAGAGGGAGGGGCTGGGGTTGCGAGAGCACCTCGGTAGTGGTGGGCTGCGGCGAAGGTGTCATGGCTGCTACCACGGAGCTCAGTAGCTCGAGTAGCAATGACAGGAACCTGGAGCGAAGCAGCAGTCCCCACCTCTCCCGAGAGGTGCTCTGCGAAATCTTTCGCTCCCTGCACACCCTGGCTGGACAGGTGAGTGGGAGACTGGGAATAGGAGGCCTCATCTAGCGTAGGTAGCGGGCAGCGGAGGCCTGTTGGCGGTGGGGGACCGGGTCTGGTATGAGGCCGGGAAGAAGCGAGTCCCAGCCCAGCCGCGTCGGATCGGAGTGAGGACTATGGCTGTGCCAGTGTAGCCCGTGACTGGTTTCAGACTAAATTTTGTCGCTTCTGCCCTTCCCGAGAGTGAGCGGATGGTCCTAGAAAACCCATGAGACCTGCGCCGAGGAGCGCTCGCGGGGAGAGAGTGAAGGCGCAAAAGCTGCCTGCAGGGTGGAAGGCGCCTAGCGCCTTTTTCCTCAGATGTGTGCGTTGTAGAAACCGGTGGGAATTTTTTTGAAAAGCGCCCTCCGCCTTTTGTGGAATGATTTGCTATTTTGACTCACTGATTTTTGCTTCTTTTTTCCCTCTGGCCATTGTGAGCATCTATTACTTTTTGAAACGGGCAGAAAGTAAAAGGAATTCATCTAAAATATTTTGGATGTAAAGTTGGATGAGTTACGCCTGGCCGATGCTAATTGCATTAGAACTGTCTTTGAACTATTAACTACTTTGCCCGATAAATAGAGATGTCAGTAAAATTGGGTTTTTTAAAAATGGGCTCCTTATACTCTTTGGTAAAGGCGTTTCATGATGTAATTATCAACGCACATTTTACATGAGAAACAAGAGTAGGTTTGCAGGCTTTGAAAAATGGGCTCCTTATACTCTTTGGTAAAGGCGTTTCATGATGTAATTATCAACGCACATTTTACATGAGAAACAAGAGTAGGTTTGCAGGCTTTGAAAAATTTTTTCTTAGGTATCCCATAGATCTTTCGTAGGTCATTTTCTACTTTTTGGGCTTGTACAAGAACATTAGTAGACACAGCAGGCATTTGTGTCACTGATAATGATGAATTCCTAAGAAAACAGAGCGTTTGGTGAGAATTATTTTTAAAAGCCTTCGGTGGATCTTTTAAAAAGTTCTTTCAATATTTAAAAAAAATGATTGTTGTGACCTACAAATGTAAGTTGTAAATTTAGTTTTGTGTAATGAAGCAATTATTAATAGACTCTTCTAAAAGGTGTTTTAAACTCAGTTGTTTATCAAGGATTTACCAAAAAAAACTATTTTTTTCAGTCTTAGGTACTTTTGATTGTTGTTAACATTTCAGTCTTAAGATCCAAGGCCTTTAAATGATGTAAAAGTTAGAGAACTTTCTATGGCATGAACACTGGAACTTTAAAGTTTATTAGTGTTCTAATGTCAAGATGGAAACATTTATATGCTCACTTGTTACTTACAGACGTTCTTAAAAATTACATTAACAATTTAATCATTTGAAGTATTTACATACTAAATTTTTCACTCATTTAAAATTTTAAACATTCTGATAATCCGAAAGTTCAAATGAAGAAGTGATTAAATTTTATTTATGTCACCTGTCAAAAATGTTTAAATATTTGTTAGTTTTCTATGACACAGTGAAGGGACCGTCTATGTAAGTGTGAAAAATAAGATTGTTTCATCAATTAAATGGTAGCCATTTTGGTAATGCTCCATATTTAAGAATGAAAGTCAGAATACCATACTGCCCCCCGGGAGTCAGTATTTCCTTCTGCAACAAGTTTAAAGGATTTTTTAAAATGTAGGTTGTAATATGCCTAAGTTTATCCTCAGTATTGTTAGTTCTCCTCAGTAGGAAACAAAACTAAATGTTAAAAAGTATTTTTTACTCCAGATTGCAAAATTTGCTAACTTTAACCTTTCTGTTTGCCTTTGGATGGCCCATTTTACCCAGCTAAAGACTTACTGTTACCTTGGAGTCTCATATTAATTTTATGACATTTGTACTGAAAATGTATAGTTAAGTAGTCTATATCGATAGCATGTTAATGAAATTTTTGAGTGACTGGCTTACTATTCCAAGACCCAAGGGTAAAAATGCATAGGATTCATCCTATTAATGGGGAATTTGTTGAATGAATAATTGGATATATTGGGATCATTTCAAAATTAATTTGTGACATTATTATGTAGTTTTCTTAAAAGATACAGTATCCTTAATTGCACTTTAAGGCTTACATAATTCTGCTGAACGGACATGAGAATAAGATCCAAACATTAAGGTTTATTTTCTACAAGTAATTTTTCTGTAGAAAATGTTAGCTTTGCTTTGGTTGAGGATTTGCCTGCTTTTTCCCAAAATTATATTCATAAATTTGCCATAATGTACTATAGGTATCTTGGAGGACTGTAAAAATATAGCAGTGGGTTGTTACTGCCTTAGGTAAGTTGTAGCCTCACAAAATCTTTATAGGCATTAAAATAATATTCATTAAGATTAATGTGTTAATCTTTATGTAAAATCTCAAGTAACTTAATATAAACTTATCTTTGCCAGTGCAGTCTGTGTAAAATTTCATGTTTGTTTATGCCTGTCAAACATGGTCTTTAAATACTTCCTACTCAATATAGTACCTAATATACCATAATCTGGAATGTCTTTGATTCCATATGCAGTGATTTTTGTTTTTGTTTTTGTATCATTAAAACTCATAAGATCTGTATTTGAGCTCATGTAAATTTATCTTTGTTTTATCAAAAACATGACTTTTTTGAAAAATGAATTTTTAATAAACACATAATTAATAAATTATTCCTGAAAAATACGATGTAATTAATTTGATTCCACTGTGGAGTATATTCTTACACTATGCTATAAATACATGTCTCTAGAAAAGTTGATGAGGTTCACTTTTACTCAGCCAATTGGTTACAGATGGAAGGTCTCACTGTAAAATTTTCACTGATTTTGATATTTTTATATTCAGGTTCTTGGTAGCTTTCTGGATATGATTTTGTTCAAATAGACTACCAACTAACTGTAAGAAATTTTTGAGTAATAAGAAGTCACATCTTACTAGAAAATACTCTTTAGCCAAACCTGAATATTCCATCCAGTTTCTGGCAATTTATTTCACTATTGTGGAGAAGTATTTATTTTTCAGTTTCAGACTAGTATAGCAAAACAGTAATTTTTATTTGAAGTAGATAATCATGTTGCCATTTATCTCTGGACTTTATATGTGTGAATAATCTTGATTTTTAAGTTATTTTAAAAATAGGTTGAAGTTGAAAACAATTAAAAATTTGATTCAGAAGACATCAGAATAATGATGTATTTCAGGTATAAATTTGTGTATATATATTTAATAAGAAGAAAGGCATATATTAGAACTTTTTAAAAACCGTTGTGCCTCCTCTGTCTGAATAGGCCAATCCTATTTTGGACCCTATCCAAAAGTTTTTCAGATAATGAAGTATCAAAAGAGCCTTCATCTTTTTATCTTTTGTGAATGGTTTAACCTTTAAGATGGTCACATTACACATATCTAAGAATAAAATTAGAATGAGATGTCATTTCAGTTTTTGTATTGTTTTTTATGAAACTCTACATCTTTTTGACCTTTTAAAATGATAACTAGGCAGAGCATTTTAATGTAGCATTAAAAACTTGCTAACTGAGCAAAATAGGCATGCGTGTTAGTCCATAGAAATCTTATTTTTGTGACAATCCCAGACATACAGCTTAATCGTGTAATTTTTGTGATGTTGCTGGTTTGCCCCTTTGAAGCTTAACCTCAAAGATGATGTGGTGAAAATTACAATCGATTGGAACAAGCTCCAGAGCCTCTCCGCATTCCAGCCTGCATCGCTCTTTAGTGCACTTGAGCAACACGTTTTATATTTACAGGTAAATTTCTTGTTAGAAATGTTAACTTTATATTGAAAATAGGAATTAATTGTGGTTAAATTAGCTGGAGCATTTGTCAATTCTATCTTATCACTACATTAGTAGTGTTTTTAATAAAAGGTTACTTACATCCAGATTGGATCTAAATCTGTTAATTTCGGTAGTGATCAGGACAGTTAGGGAAATACAGCTCAATAGGCCGATATGGGTGAGATTGAATGAATGCAGTTCTATTCAACTCTAGACTTGTGCTGAAAATTCAATACAGTTCTATCTATGGTGGGTTATAATTAAGCAATAAGACACGGCAGGTGTGTGTCATGCTATGATAATGATTCCATGCCTTGGGTGAGTTTGGAGGCTCATGGAGTGCTTTCAGTGGTTCAAGAAGTGGCATTATCCCAGCATGACACATCCTGGAGTGTCTATTGCAATTAAACAGTTTCAGCATAGTTTTTAAAAAGAAAGTAATTTCTGTGACATTAATGTCTCTTCTTAGTAAGTAGCCAGTCACTATTTTATCTTTTCTTTCCTTAATAGTTTGAAATAATTCATCCTTGATATTAGAAGTCAATATTGAATTGTTATTTATAAGAGTATTGTTATATTTTTAATATTGAGTTCAATATGACATTGTTGGTTGTATTGAACATCTCTAATTACAATTGATGTAAGTTGTAGTTTATCTCTAATCAAAGTATAAAATGTGAAGGGTCAGAAAGATGAGTAGAACTATTTGGATTGGTCACTTTCCTGTGATTAAGGTGTTACAAGGTTTCAGAACAGCATTTTGCTATAGCAAACAATGGAAGCAAAATTGTAGGTATGAAAAACATCGTTGGAATATTGGTAAGTATTGGTATGTTTTGACTAAGGGGATTAACATTAATTTTCAACCCTGCATTCAATTATTTTCTAGGAAAAATTAACTGTATTGCATGTTAAAAGTAATAGTTAACCCTGTTTTTAAAGGGCAGAGTAATGAATGAGCTCTGCAACTCCAATGAGACCTGGTTGGGGGAGGGAGGGTGGAATGGAAGTAAATGAGTAATATAATTTACATTGTATAACAGGGCCTTTTTATCCCCACTAGTATAGTGATAGGATTTATCTGCTTTCAGCTATGGATCTTGGTAGCTTTTTTCTTTTTCCTTGTTCAGTTTCTTTTGTAAAATTTAATTTCAAGACCTTAGAAGATACCTGGCCATGTCAGGAAAAGCCTGAGTGTTCACTCAGCATAGCACCTATATATTTCATGTCCATGCTGTTTCATTCACTTTGGCCAACTGCAGTTTCAAGTGGAGAATCTCCAGTGATACAGCGATAATGCAGGGCTTTGCTGAGTGAGAGCACTGGCTCTCCTGTTGAGGAGGAAAAATACTAAGCCTTAGTGCTCTGAGGAGGCATTTGAATGACATGTTAATTAAGTGGCATTGGTGCCAGAGGCTGAAGGCTTTGATTTGGCACAAAATAAAAGATGAGTGACAGAATGATTTCCTCAAAGAAAATTTTAAATTTCCTCAGGTTTTCTTTCTCTTTCTCTCTCTTTTTTTTTTTAAACAAATATATAGCAAATGGTAATAGTCACAATAGCAGAAATCAAAAAACACTTGCATGTGATCAAACCTATGTGTATCCTTCTACTAGCTTTTTATATTTAATAATTGATATTAAATATGTCACTTACTTAGAACACAAATTTACATCATAAAGACGTAATTAATTTTGGTTAGTTTGAACCCAGCATATGAAATTGTGTTCTTCTCAGCCTTTTTTAGCAAAACTTCAGCCTCTAATTAAAGAGGAGAATTCAACTGCTGTTGAAGAAATAGGAAAAACAGAAACGGGGAACAAGAATGAACTAAATCCCACATTTCCCATTGGTGACCTACAAGAGGAAGAAAAGCACAAAGATTGTGATTTAGGTGATGTGAAAAAAATCCATTTTGATCCAGAAGTAGTTCAAATAAAGGCTGGAAAAGCAGAAGTAAGAAGTTTGGTGGAGGAGGGGGGACATTACCATTTTAAGAAGTCATACAGTGTTTACCTCTTAAAACATTCTTCTTGTTTATAGATTGACAGACGAATATCTGCATTTATTGAAAGAAAGCAAGCTGAAATAAATGAAAACAACGTCAGGGAATTTTGCAATGTTATTGATTGTAATCAAGGTAACTACCTAGAAGTTAATTTTCATAGGATTTTTTTACAGTTCTATCTTTCATTTTTAAACAATAACATTAAGAACACAATTCAGTTTACTTCACAGGTTTTTAGTTAGTAACTGAGGTAGTGAAATTTCCTTCTGTCTACTAGCGACTATGTTATAGAACTGATTTTCATTTTGGTTCCCTAAAAAACAAATGCTAACATAAAAAGATGAATGTTAAAAAATATATATGAATGTTTACCCACTGAGAAGATTAAAGTTCTTTTAGGAAATGGAGGTGAAGTGTGGAATAGCCAGGTTGTTCGTTTCACCATTATTGAGCAGCATGAATTTCAAGCCTGTAAATGTACTTATGAAATTATGATGTTACTACCAAAAGTGAATTCAGTAAAGTTAATAGCATTCCTCAAGAGGGAGCAGTTTTCTCATTACTACTGAGTTAGGTGAAATGTTATGTCACGACACAGCCAGTTCATCATGAGTTTTATGCTTTTTTCCTTTCTCTCATAGTGGATACATTTGCTGTTTTTCATCAGATTCTCCTTTCCTCTTCACTTGATGTTATAGTACATTTATAGATCTGTAGGTATGCTGCAGAATACAAACTGTTACATAGCACTGCCTTGCTCATATTCAGGCATCCTAGTGATAATCAAAGTAAGTAGTTCTTAGAAGAAATTTGAAGGGTTCATAATTGGGATGAACATTTTTCTTGTTGCCACTAATGCCTATGGGCTAATTATTATGAACACAGAATTGTCAGATGAACCTAAAAGTAGCTCACATCACATTGATACACTGATTCCTTTAATGGCATAATGTAGGCTCTGTTTGGGTCCTAAATTCAACTTTTTCTGCAGTTAACTTTTACATCTGTGTCTCTAAATTTGGTGTATTTTCCCCTTAGCTTTTCAGAACATGTACCACAGCAGCAAAACCCAGGTACTACAATCCAACTGCAAGCAACTCATGAGAGAGGGTTTGTTGAGGGAGCAACCACATGTGTCACTAATGTTATTCCTCTGTTCTCCCTGCTAACTCTATTATTATAAACCACCAGGGGATAGAAATTGACAAGAATTGAAATGCTCAGCAGGATTCCTTGGCCCATTCAATCCCTTGCTGACTCAAAACAGTGCTAGCAAGAATTGCTGTGGGGAGTGACTAGCAGTCATACATTCAACACACCATGTTGAATTTCTTGCTGATGGGTCAGTTAATCTACGTATTTGGAATATAGCTCTGGAATGGATGATAGCTTCTTTTTTAACCCCTAGCCAAGTGAAAAGGTAGAAAGAGAATAGAGAAACGCTGGCCCTTTAAACATATTTTGAGGTTCTCCCCCTCCTCCCAGGAAAAAAAAGAAAATGACTCTGTTTAGTCTCTAGGTATGAAAGATGAATGGATTTGGAATTTTATTTGCACAGTTTGACTTTATCAGCAGAATTGTTAAGGAAACTTAAACGAAAAAATGTACCTTAATGTGTTAGTGTATTCCTTTAAAGACCTCTCAATTTGACTGAAGTATAAGCAAAGGATTTTTTTAAAAACTCAAATTTCATAGGAAAAAGAGAATTGTCTTTCAGTATCTAATTTACCATCCTTTTTTTTTTTTGCAAAATAATTAAAGGAGTTTTACAAAAAGTTTACTGCCAATGCATGGTTTTACTAATGTTATTTCGAGCATTAATATATATTGTTACTCTATAGTGTTGTAGATTGCAAAATAAAATATATTTAAACATATAATTATATTAGTATGTAATAATATAATTACATATGTCGTATGTAATTATATATTATGTTAATGTCTTTCTAATTCCCCCCCTTTTGTAATGTATTGATACCTAATTTGAAGGAAAGTATACTTTTCAGCTTGAAAATTTGGAGGATAAATTTTCACAACATGTATTTCCTGACATTGCATTTTTTGAAAGCTGTAGGATGGGAAAAAGGGAAAAATTCCTAATCACAAAAGTGAACATTAGAAGTCTAGATAGAGTAGGAAAGTATGTGTTGTCCATGATGTTTCAAGGTCTTTTTTTATCAAAACGTTAATTTTATCAAGATGTTAAACGTGTAATTAATCTTTATTAGATATTCCCTAATTTGGCCAGTCATGCTGGGGTTTTTTAAGAGATATTTTTAAAACATACTCCAGTAAAAATGAGTTCTGTTTTTATGATGAGGTAGTTAAAATTAGTACTCTATATGAGTTATTTTCCCCAAAGGCTCAAATGTTTTTTGGGGATTTTGACTTTTGTTAAAAATTATATGATGCTACTTAATGTTAAGGACTTTTCTGTATGCAAATCTAAACATTAGACAAAAATATTAGAGGTTATGGTTCATTTTAGAAGATAAAGGTTACTCAATTCTATCCTATATGTGATGGTAATTTATTATTATCTCAAATTATATTCTCTTATGAGTAATATTATGAATTATTGGAAGTTTATCAAAATCTTATACATCTGTAATTAAGAATATATATTTAAACTAATATTCATCTGAATTCTCCTTAGAAAATAGTTGTGCAAGAACTGATGCCATTTTTACCCCTTACCCTGGATTTAAAAGTCATGTAAAGGGTAAGTAACTGCCACATATATCTTTGCTATTGTCAGGAGTTTATTCTAGACTATTAACACAATTGTTGTAGAAATAACTTTACTATCTAAATTTTGTTTAACACAAAACAAAAATACTACCTTCATTCTTGGGCTTGTGGCTACTTTATGAAAAGGATATAAGGTACTGAGGGAAACACAATTTCTGTTTTGAAATATAAATTTACACAGGCCTAAAAGTTTCTTAACTTAGTTTCTAGAGTTGTGAATACATATGGACCACAGACTAGACTTGAAGGAATTCAAGGATCAGGTCATAAATCTACCAGCATGCTTCGAGACTGTGGCAATCAGGCTGTGGAAGAACGACTGCAGAATATTGAGGCTCACTTGAGATTGCAGACAGGTAAGCAGAATGTTAGGTGGTGCCCCACAAGTGGTAAAAGAAATTCCAGTTTACTTAGTCTCCAGATTTTCATTGAACACTCATTTAAACCATTGTTCTAGCTGATACAAAAGTGAATAAAATATTATCATTGCTCTTAAGGAATTTACACTTTTTGTTATTTATGCTTTTCTCGTCTCACACTTTTTGCCACATTCTATAATTTGAGAAAGTGCTTGTAGATTAGAGACAGGTTCCATATAGCTCCTGTGAAGTCACAGCTGAAAATTCGTGCAATTTTTTCCTATGACCAACTGCAGAACTTAACCATTACCACCTCTGATTCTTATCACCCATTCTGTTAGATACCAAGTATTGATAAGTGTGGTCCTACTCCTCAAGGATCTTTTAGTTAGCATATAAACAAATAAATGCTGTAGAGAAAATGAACTAACATTTATTGAACACTATTGCCAGCTAGACTGCAAGTGTTATGCATATGTTAACTTAGTATTGAATGGTACTCTTTTGAGGTATCAGTGCTGTTATTATTGCACAGATAAGGAGATTGAAGTTTGAAGAGCTCAGGCAACATACCTAAAATAGTAGGAACGGGAAATCCAGTCCAGATTTACCTGGCTAAATCTTTTTACCTTGCCATTTAGTCACTTAACCAATAAGATCCTGTTGGTTCTGCCCTAAATATCTCCCAAATCTACCCACTTCTGTCTGTCTCCACTGCTTCTTCTGTAGATGAAGCCAGTATGATCTTGGCCTTGGCTGATGGAAGTATGTTAGTTGCTCCATTTGCCACTAAATTTCCTCTAAATCATTATTCACCCTATGGCCACATTCCTTTTTTTAAAGCTCAAATCTAGTCTTGTTTCTGCCCAGCTAAAAATTCTTTAGTGGGGTTTTTTTTGTTGTTTTTTGTTTTTGTTTTTGTTTTTTGTTTTTTGTTTTTTGTAGCCCTTACATGCATACCAAACTTAATATTTATCCATTTATTTAACAAATAGTACTAAGTTCCTGTACTGTTATAGATACTGAGATGATATCTGAATAAAAATTCTATCTGGGGGAGATATTTATTATTATAAATAATACTTGTTTAAAATATTTTCTTAAAATTTATTATAAGAATGCTACAAGAGAAGGCTAAAGATAAAAGCAATTTGACCAAGAGAAGCAAAAAAAGATTGAGATCAGAGGAAGTTGTGATTTTGTTTATTTATTTATTTATTTATTTATTTGTGGCACTGGGGTGTGAATTCAAGTTCTCATGCTTGCTAGGCAGGCGTTCTTACCTCTTGAGCACTCTGCCAGCAGGAAGTTGTAATTTTAAATGGGATAGTCCACACCCATATTTCCAGCCAGTCTCTGGGTTTCCTATCACCTACTCATTTTGCTGCCCTGTGGCCTGTGTAACTATCCTTCTCTTCCTGATCCCAGACCAGTGTGGATCCCTGTTTTTATGGCTACATAGCACCTGGTACTCCTAGCCCTCCTTTAAAGCAGTTATTGAAGTTCTGTTTAATGTCCCTGTCCTCTGCTAGATAGTAAGGTCTGTGAGAGTGGAACTGTGTCTGTCATGTTCATTACATTTGTAACCTAGTGCAATGTCTGGCACAAAGCAGGTATTCAAATGTTTATTCAATGAATATTTGGGACACAAAATTATCATCAGTCTCTCAGAGGAAGTCAAGGGATGGCATCCCTGATGAAATGATGTTTAAGACCTTACAAGATCAGTAAGAATTTTCCATGAGCCAGGCATCCCATAAAGAGGGAATAGTGTCTGCAAAAAATGATAGGAGCACAAAATACATTTCTGAATCTAGTCTATCTGGGGTATTTGCTGAACGAAGGTAGAAAAGATAAGAGAATGAGTGAATCTTTGAGGTAATAAGACATTAGCATTAAGAATTAATCTCCTCTTCCAGTAGTAAATGAATTTAAAATGCAACTGTATAAAAGGATTGACTGGTTTAAAAATGTAGTTAATTCTTTTGGGGGAGAGGGGAGGAATCTGTTATACACTCGCTATGTACCAAGCACTATTTTAGGTATAAGGAATACTAAGATGAGGTAGTCAGTTTCTGGCTTCAAAGACTTTATAGTCTAGGTGGGATAAAGATTAAAGAAGTAGAATTTCAAAGGGTCAGTGAAGAAGGGTATGGTGGGGGCACAAAGAGCCTCCCTGTGAACAGGTTCAGGCAATTGTCTCATGAACCCATTGACCCATTGAAACTTAAAACTAGCTCTTGAAAGGTACATGGGTAAGGCAGGGGACATTCTAGATAAAGGGAACAGCAAGAGCAAAGTCAAAAGAACAAGTTACTTAATTTACCTTATTTAGGAGCATAGTCAAGGTCCTAAGATAAAGAACATATTCTCAAACAAAGCTGGAAAGTTGATTCTTTTGATGTGATAATTTACCTGTATTTTTTAATGGCGTAGTGAGTGTGTAATCATGTGTTGATTAAGTCAGTAAATAGAGTACTTGCTCTGTGCCAAGAGTTGTAGTCTATGGCCTACACAGCCATATTCCCACTGAAGAAATATAAAACTCTGCCTTCTTGAAACTTGCATTAGAATGGAGAGACAAATAATAAAATAGACAGGATGTTAGGTGGTAATGGTATAGAAAAATTAAGAGAGAGAGGATAGGGAGTGCTGGGTAGTGGGAAGTAGTAGTACTGGTATTTTTTAAAGGATTGTCAGAGAAGGCCATATAGATCAGATAACTCTTAAACCAAGACCTGAAGTTGGCCAGAGTAATCCTTGAGATTGTGGAGGTACAGAGAACCACAGCTGGTAAGGCTGTCAGGGTGCTTGGCCTAGATAAGTAACAGATGAAGGAATCAGGTGGCTGGAACTGTATATGTCTGGTGAGAGTATAGAGCCTTGTAGGCCATTATAAGGGTTTTAGTTATTCATCTGAATGAAATGGTATGGTATTTAAAGGGTTTAAAGAGAGAAATTACATGATCTAGCTTACATGTTAAAATATCACTGGCTTCTGGGTTGAGAATACACTTAAACTAAGGCAGAAACTTGGAGACCAATTTCAAGGTTGTAGTAAACCAGAGAGATGTAGTTTACACAAGAATGATTGCGATAAGTGGTGATAAGTGGAAGAATTGTGGATATAATCTTGAACTTGAAATTTAAGTGATCTTAATTTACCACCTTCCCCCAAAAGATTGTGGTAAAGCCACTTTTCACATTCTTCTAGGTCAAAGGAGGAGATATATCATGTTGGGAGAAACATAATTTGAAGAAATAATATGACATATTGCAGTCACTGCATTGAATTGTCATTTGTCACTATACATTTTTCTCTTCCCAAGTAACTACCAAAACCTGTAAGAAATACAAATTGTTCTATACAGAAACTATTCACTATCTTGTCAAGTGAATTTAATATAAAACTAGCAATGTAGGAAGCATAAGTGGGGTTTGGAAAGAGGAACTGTAGTTTAATTAGTTTCATAGTATATAATGTGAAACCATGAGCTAAGAATTTCATTTTGTTTAACTTTTATTTGTTTTCTTAAGTTTAAGTATTTCCTTTTTTGCATGTGTTTGCATGATATTATAAGAGTAAAAATTGTAAGAAGAATTATTCATTAGTATTTCAGAAATTGTTTTATTTTTTTAGGTGGTCCAGTGCCAAGAGACATTTATCAGAGAATTAAAAAACTTGAAGATAAAATCCTTGAATTGGAAGGCATCTCTCCTGAATATTTTCAAACTGTAGTAAGTATAAGTGTCTTTTAAAAATAAAGCTCCATTTTATTTTATGAATTTTTTAATTGTGTAACAGTTCACTCATTGATCTATATGTGAAACACTATTTCAATAATTCAAAGATAAAGAGACACAATTGTATGTGTAGAGGACTATCCAGTTCTTTAAAAATGCGGATTCTGAGGGCTAGAGATGTAGCTCAGTGATGTAGCACTTGCCCAGTACATGCAAGGTCCTGGGTTCATTATGCCATTTTCATGGCATAAATTAGGCTGAAAAGTAGCTGAGCCTGTGATTCTGAACTGCCCTCTTATAAAGCAAATGCTTCCTCTGAGGACATTGATCTTATCAGCTATCCTTCTGGCTCTTCAATCCCTTTCCTCCCAGACTCTTTCCCTCTGCCCATAGTCACATTTCTCTATACTAAATAAGCTCACATCTCACACTGTCACTTTACCTTAACCACCAGACTTTTTGAAAGACTAGTCTGTATTTGTCTAATTCCTTAATTCTCATGCATTCATTCTTACATTCTTTCCCCCTTTTTCAAGAAACATTAACAGTGTTGTGCTGATAAGTATCTTCTTTGGCATATCATTTTCAAATAAACCTGAGCTCATTCTGTTTTCCTTAGTCTTTGTCTTCTCAGGTGGTAATATATGTACTGCTCCTGAGGTGGTTTTTTTGGGTTTTTTGTTTGTTTTGTTGTTGAGACAAAGTCACTGTGAAGCCCACACAGGTCTCAAACTCAGTCTTTCTGCCTTAGCCTCCCGAGTGCTAATAGGTATTGCAGGTATGTTCCAGCATATCTGGCTAGTTTTTTGTTGTTGTTTTGTTTTTAAAGCAGTACCATATTAGAACTAAAATAATGTAAAAGTGAGCTTATACTAAAACTTTCTGAGAAATTATGTAAAATATCTCATATTGGCATGAATCATGTAAGTCACTGGTGGAATATATTTAAAATTCCTTTTTAGTAAAAATTATAGATTGGATAACAGGGGCTGAAGCAAAGATTAAATAAGAAGATACCAATCAAATACTTAGCACACTGTCTAGCACATGATAAAACCTGCATTTGTTTAATTTCAGAAACCATCTGTAAAGTAGCTGTGTAACAGTCAATTTCTCTGGACTTCAGATGTCTAATTTTAGAAAATGGGTTGGTTGTATTGCTATTACTAAGGTTTTCCACATGTAGGATTTAGTCTTTAAATTTTTCTTTCCAGAAAACTTCCTACAACAGTCTACCATAAATTTTCCCAATCAAGCTGCTTTAATTACAAACCCCCAAGAAGGTTACTTTTCTAGTTCAGTTTCATACCTTATTAATTCTTGTTAATAATAGAACTGATCTTAGAAGAGAGTATGGTAGTATCACATGCTTCCAGTGAGACCTTTCTTCATCATTTATCTCTTCTGATTCTAATGTATAAAAGCTTACAGAGACTTAGTTAACATAATAACAAGTCCTCCACCTCATAATTTTGTGGGGTTTTTTGTTTTTATTGTGGCTCTTCTATACATACAGGCTAGAGTATTTGGTTAAAAGAGGAAGAACTTGTCAGATTGTAGAGGACCTTAAAACCAATGCCTAGAAGCTCTAAATCTGTTTCTGGCAGGGGAAGTGGGGATCTTTTATAAGCATTTGAACAGGGAAATGACTTGTAAAAACAGTATTTAGAAAGATTTAGCCAATACTGCTATAGAAGAACTAAGGATAAGGAGACAGCATTAAACTAGCTTAAATATGAAGTGACGTCCTGAAAGAGAGATATAAATGAGAATAGGAAAGAATAATGAAAATAGCAAAGAAAAATTGACAGATACTGATGATTGCATGTGGAAAGACAGAACAAAGATAAATCCAGTTTTTTGTTGGAAAAATGATGCTGTCATTGATAGTATTGAGAAAGTCAAGAGTGGGGGGGGTTTAAAGGAATATAAATTTGAAGTCACTAGAGGATAGGAAGATAAAAGTATGAGGCAAGCTTTTTGAGATGTAGAACTTAAACTTGAGACAATTGAGAGAGTCTGTGTTGAGGGACTAGCTTAAACACCTAGGGGTGGGAAGAACACTGCTTGATGAACCTGACTGGAAGGGCAAGAAGAATTAGAGATTTAGACAGAGGATTAGCCTGGATCAGTTAGGCATTCAGAAAAAGAGGAATGATGGCAACCTTTGATAAAACTAGTGCTTTTTATTTATTTTTGGTGGTACTGTGTTTGAACTCAGGGCCTTGTACTTTCTAGGCAGGTACTCTATCACTTGAGCTATAGCCCTAGCCCTTTTTGCTTTTGTTATTTTTCAGGTAGTCTGCATTTTTTATCCAGGGCCAACATGGACCACAACCATACTACTTAGACCTGAATAGGTGTGCACTACTACATCCAGCTTTTTTGTTGAAATAAGTCTTACTGGCTTATTTCAACATGCTGAAATAAGGCTGGGCTGGCCTTAAAGCAAGATACTCCCCATTTCCACCTTCCAAGTAGCAGGAATTAGTGCTTTTAAAAAATATTTCCAAATTTAAAAACAGTTTATCTTTGTTTAGAAGAAACATTCTGGATTGGTGTTGCAAGTGACACATCCAGATTAATAGTGAGCTACAAGGAAGCACAGAACTGAAAAAGTTTAAACATTTCAGACTAAGTTTGTCCTTCATACCTATGAACAGATATGGCACAAGCCCAAAAGGAAAGAAGATTTCATACTCACCCTTTCATAACAGAATGAGCGAGTCCTCTCTAGGAGTGGCACACCTCCCTTGGAATAGAGCCAGCTCAAGGATTGTCCTTATACATGAGAGGAGTTGATTGAACACACTGTATGCTCCACAGAGAACATAGCACATTGTCACCCTCCTGTCCTCAGGCTGAGAGTACATGTATGGTAATTACATAGATTTACATATTTGTCCCTGACATGGGAAAAGAGGAGACTATATGGAGCACAGTCCTCTGCCTTCTAAAGTTAGAACATAAGAAAGTTGAGCCCATTAAATCTTTAAGGCTTGAACTTTTGATGGAAAGTGAACCTCTGAACCCTGAAAAGATGTTAATTGAAAGGTGTTTAGATTCACATGTACATGAATTTTAAACAAGGGGAAGCTTCCCAGAGTTGAATAGAAGCCATCATGGGTAACATTGAAGTACAACATAAGAAAAGGTGAACATTAATTTTAAAAATGATGTAAATTATATTTGTTTCATAAAACCAAGCTAGGTATATAAAGTTCTTTTCACTCAGTTAAACTTCTTAAAATAAGTTATAATGTATGCAAAACAGAAACTTAGAGCAATATTTGCTGCATCTTTTAATATAATTGTTCTTTTTTGGGGGTAGTGGAACTGGGGTTTGAACTCAGGACTTTGTGCTTTGCAAAGTAGGAACTCTATCACCTGAGCCATGTCTCCAGTCCAGTATAATTGTTCTAAAGATCTAGAGCTTAGGTTCTCTGGATGTGTGTGTATATAATCTTTTCATTGGGACACAGGTATTATAAATGTAGCTATAAATTACTTGCCAATTTAAAATAGTGGGAGGGAAGAAACCATTTTGAATGATCTTTGTGCAGTTGTTTCCCTAGAGTGCTCTGCTCACATATATTTTCTCAAGTGTCAAACCTTGTTAAAATTTCCACCTTTTATGCTGAGATGTCCTTATACCCAAAACTAATTTTAAAGTTAGTCTAGTGTGCCCAGAGTAGATGTGGTACCTCTTAAGTGTTCTACTTGTGAAAATATTCTGCTCAAATCTAAAATAAGTCCCAGAGACTCATTTTATTATGTTTTTAAGTCATTGATCCACTGATGTTCTTATTCTCCTCATTCTGATTTTCCATGTTGTTTCATGATAATAATAATCTGGTTGTTTAATGACATAGAAGCTATCAATATTTTATGGGGAAATGGTTATGACAACAAAGGGAAAAATATTTTTATCAAGTATATAAAAGAACTACCCCTTTGGAAGGTAGGAAACTGAGCAGTGGACAAGATAAATGTTAAAACCCTGATCTTTCTGTAGGCTCCATCTTGCTTAGTTTGACAAAGGAAGGAACATATTTATCTAAGCTCTATTATCCCATACATAATAATTCTATACCTAATGGTTTCTTGTTTATTATAGCTACAGATAACAGGCATACCTAGATGTTCTTTGAATCAGCTTTTGATACAAAAGAAAATGAGTTTCAAACTGTTTAAATCCCAATGATCAAAATTGCTCGTGAGAAAGTTTTGCTATTTACATTCAGTTTGTCAAATATATTCGTTTACTAATTTTCTATTCAAAAGCTTGTGATGTTGTGAAAAGTAAGAACAAAGTGTAGAAAGAATTCATTAGATCAAGTTTTAAAAGACTAGTAGTTTGTTGCTATGAATGTTGTCAGCTTCAACTACAAGATACACTGCCCCCACCACCAAGTATAGAGATTGAACCCAGAGCTCTTGCTTATTAGGTATGTTCTCTACCAATGAGCCATGTTTTTCCAAACCAGCTACAAGAAATTTGAGCTGGCGACAAGCATGTTCTACCACCATGCCTATAATTTCAGTACTCAGGAGGCTGAGGCAGGAAGATCCAGAGTTCTAGGCCAGCCTGTACTAGACAACTAGACCCTCTTTAAAAAAAAAAAAGGAAGGAAGGAAAGAATGGACTTATGCAATATGGAAATTATAAAATAGGAAGCCCAGTGATAACACAGTCTTCAGGGTTAACTGATTCAGTGGCTAAGTCATGCTTGGTGCTTGCTTCTTCCCCTGGCAGATGACAAGATAGCACTTTCAAGTGTCTTATCCAGATATAACTGTGTCCGCAGCAACTGTTTTTTTTTGTTTTTGTTTTTGTTTTTGTGGGACCAGGGTTTGAACTCAGGGCTTCATGCTTGCAAAGCAGGCATTCTGCTGCTTGAGCCACACCTCCAGTACATTTTGCCCTGGTTATTTTGGAGATGGAATTTCACTAACAGTTTGCCTAAGCTAGCGTTGAACCTGGATCATTTTGATCTGAGCCTTCTAAGTAGCTAGGATTACAGGCATGACCCTTGGAGCCCAACTAGCAACTCTCTCTTGTGAGTGATTTGTCCCAGAAGTAAGGAAGCATTTCCAGAAACTCTCCTTAATCCCCAGCAGACTCCTTACCCATTGACCAGAATTGGGCCCATTCCCGTTTCAGTCACTGACAAGACTATTGGGGTGGGATCAACATTCTCTCGAGTCACGTGGAAGCATTGGATAGAGAAGTTTACATAGACAACCACAGTGCCCATAATAGTCAAGGATGTGTGTATGTGTGTTTTCACTCCTTGGCCTGTACACCAAATCCATTTTCCTCTGTCTCTTGCTGCTTCATTTGTTTTTATGTCCCAGGATGGAAGGGTTTTAAAAAATCCTTTTTAAAAAAAAAAAAGACTAAGTAGAAAATCACAAGAGCATCTCTTTCCACCTCACTCAGGCTCAATAGAAGCTTGTAATTAATGGGAAAGTATATTTGCCAGGGATAAGCATGTTGCTGCAATGTTATGTACAGTATACTCAAAATATCATCATTTTAGAGGACAGCTTTCAGAATATAAGAAGGAAGGTGTCAGTTGCAGATAAGTCTTGGTAAGTTTGTCAACTTTGTATCTGTCAGGGTTCTCAAAGGCTGTCTGGTGTTTTGCACAATGTTCTATAAAGGAAATCATGATAACATTTTCTAAACATTGATCATTTACTGCTTTTTCACTTTTAAACTAGAACTTCTCTGGAAAAAGAAGAAAAGTTCAACTACCTCAGGTAAGTTGAGTTACTGCATCTCATTTTGACTTCTTTAAAACCTTGATGAGGTTTATACCTTATTAATAAAAGTTCCTACTGTGAGTGCTTCTTAGGTTTATAAACTGGTAAGATTTAGAACAGAAGAAATAGTAGTATAAATTAATATACTTGAGTCAGAGTTATTTAAAGGGTGTATAATAATTCAAAGGGTTAAATGAATATAAAAATCTGTCCTTTTTTAGATAATAGAAGACTATCAGTTACAAAATACTTAAAAATTCTATGTACTCAAGTAACTTTAGTTTCCTCTCACTCCCACTTTTGTGGAGACTACTAGTTAGCAGGTAAATAAAATAAAAAGGGTGTTAGTCAGAGGATGACTTCAGCCTACCTCTGTCCTTTATTAATTAGTTGAATCTTAAATAATAAGATTTTGCTAGACTTCATGATGGTGATATAAATCTAAAGTTGGAGGAATTTTTTTTTAATTGGCCTATATTTTTAAAAAAGAGTAGCATGTTACTGTAAAGTTTTGAGTAAATTGAGAACAGCCATTGTTTTTAACAGAAGTAGTTGATGGCAGTTGATCCCTCACAAGAGAATTTCTAGGTATTTTAAGCAGTTAAGCTAATCTTACAATTTAAATTTTTTTAATTATTACTTGTTTTGACCACACTTTTTTTTGGTTACAAGCTTTTACTGTTCTTTCAAAGTACAAAAGGTTCAGGAAAACTTGTCATTAGGAAAGAAAAAAAAAAGAAGAAATATTTAAGCCTTGTTATTTTTATGCCTTTAAATTTATGGTATAGTCACTATACATAGTTGTTCAGTTTTATAATAATTTTTGTGAGGAAAAAACATTTTATCAATTATTGAATATTTTAAACATTTATAATTCATTTAGCACTTTGTCTGCATTAAGACACTTCAGAGTCTTATTCAGCAATTTGTGTTCTTATTGTTTATAGCAGAACTATTCTCTGGCTGAACTTGATGAGAAAATTAGTGCCCTCAAACAAGCCCTGCTCAGAAAATCAAGAGAAGTAGAATCCATGGCAACTCACCACCTTCCGTGAGAAACTCCTCCTCATCCTTGTCATTTTCCTTTTTTTATGTACCTGTGTGTAACTTACACTGTAATTAATTAAATGGTAGGTATTTATAATGTAAACTTTCTGTGAAGTCAAGGTTTATTTTTAAAGCTTGCAGCAAGTAATCTTAAAGTATTCCAATGAGTTTTGAAATAATGAATGCATTCAAAATAGCATTATTGGACTTTATTTCCTTCTGTTTTAAAGGAGGTATTTGGAATTTGAAAAACTTAATTTGACAGTACTTTTTTTTTTTTGATGGACCACAAAAAGGAAGATTATTTTGATAGCGATATTTAAAAGGACTTTATATTTGTAACATTGGTTAACTAGTTTATCAGTTTAGATTACTACTTTGCACATCGTGGGCATCAAACAAAAGTTTATTTACTGAAATGAATTTTAAATGCATGTATAAAATTTATTTTTCAAATGTCAATATTAATGTAAATAAAATAAACAGTAGGTCTAATTTTATTTCTTGGCTGTGTGACCTTGAACAAGTTTGTGCCCTAATTTTGTAATCTGTGAGAGGGTAATGATAATAATAGAACCTCTTCAGTGATTGTTACAGAGAATATGTGAGATCATGCATGTGCAGGTTTTCAAACTGTGCCAAAGGAATTACTTGGTAAATGTTAGCTAGTATAACTGTATAAAACCTGGTCTATCTTTGGACAGTAGGAAAGATGTTACAAATGTTATTAAATGAAAAATTTAAAAGAGGCAACAGCTACAGTTATATCTAAAATCCTTCATGGAAAACCTGTTCAAGTTAAGAGTTGTTTAATTACAAGAATCTAAAATCTACCTCAAATCTCTTGTAAATGGGGAGTTGTTTAAAAAAAAAACGGAAATCTGAAAATTAAAGGAAGTATAGCTAAATCTAATAGGATCTAGAAAATCACTATTAGTTAATCTCTTTCTGTGTCTCTGACTGTCCTTGGCTCTGTGTCTTTCTTATTTCATTCCCCTGCTGTCCTTGTTTTCTGCTCTCCCTCTTCCTTGTTCTTTTGGTCTTAAATATAATCATCTAAGAATCTAGTGTATTCTCTCTTTGTGGTCTGGTTTTTCTAGTCCTCTCCATTTGAGGACTCCTTCACATTTCTACTCCTGCACATGGAGTAACATGTTAGTCCTGTCTCCATAGCCTCAGCTTGTTCTGACTTTGACCAACTTTGGTGAAGACTCTGAATTCAACTCTAGAACCTCACAACTCCCAAGAAGCACTTCGTACTTTCAGTCTTTGTAACTCTGAGCTGAAATTCTAGATATTAAATATGACTGAGTGCCATCATCAGGTATCTCAGTCAGTTGTGGTCAGGATGATAGAGTAGAACCTCTTTGTAGGAATATGCAATACACATACAACTTTGACAGCCTTGAAAATGTAGTCACGTGGTTTTAAAAAAAAATGGCTTTGGAATCATTCCCCAGAAGTAGATGTAGGCTAGGTCCACTCCACTAATGTATTATCACTGTATTTCAACTTCACAGAGAGGAGTTGATATTCTTGTCTAACATGTTCCAGTGTTATAGATGCAGCTACATATGCCAGCTCCTCAGTTTCTATCTGATATCATCCTACCAGAATGACATCCTCCAGGCTTTGTGGCACATTGTACTACCAACATACCACCAATATAGTAGGGAAAACAGCAGTAAAACTTACTATAGAAGGAAGGAGTTTGACTTGGAAGTAGGGAAGAAACCTAGAAAAATAGGATCATATAGGATCACTGGTCCAGACCTCTAAATTCCATGGGACAATTTCTTGACTTCCTTGGCAATAGAGTAAGTTTCTAAGTCGTGTCTGATAGTCCTAACATCTACCCATTAGAAAGATTTCCTGTATCTGTTATCTTTCGGGCTTGCTTTTTTTTTTTCTCCCCATGCCAGGCTTGAATAGGTTTTCTTTGCCTTTAATCTGTAGCCCCTCTCCTTCAGGTATACCAAAAGCCAGACATTTGATCTTTTTGATAGACATATTAGTCAGAGTACAGTGATAACTCATTATGATTATTTTCATTTTCCTGAAAATCAGTGAGATTGAGCATTTTTTATGAACTTGATAGCCATTTTTAATTAGGCTATATTCATTGTACAGGGGGCATTCTTTGTGACAATTCCAAGTAGGCTTATATTGTACATTGATTAGATTATCCCCACTGTCTCTCCTCCTCAACCCCTTTTCTACCCCACTTAAAGCAAGTTCAAGAGGTTTCTCTTTCTATTTCATATAAGCATATGAAGTCCATCAACCCCCTCACCTTAATCTCCTTCATTCCCCCTCCCCCTCCCAGAAGTTCCCTCCCTCCCACACACATTATGCATATTTTACAGTCCTGTCTTTCATTATTAATAATTAAGTCAGTGTTCATAGGAGTGTCTCAATGTATGCCTACTGTGAGCATTCTTTACTTTGGTCTACTCAACCCCTGCCATTGCTCTCCCTTACCCCTTTACCTCCCACCACCCCCCACCCCCGTTTTTCAACAGCTTTCAGTACATATCCTTATGTCCGCTATTTTCACAAATGTTATGTTTTACAATATTCCTGATTCTCTATCATTCTCCTTTTCTTCCCTGAGTTCCATGGAGTAGTTCCATTATTACAAATGTGTTCTAATAGGAGTTTATATACAATCATGTTTGTTTTTATGTATATGTTTATCTTTTGGATCTATCTGCCATGTATGAGAGAAAACATGCAACCTTTCTTTCTGAGCCTGGCTTACTTCACTTACCATGATGTCCTCCAGTTGCATCCATTTACCTTCAGTGTTGTTATTCCTTATAGCTGAGGAAAACACCATTATGTATATGTATATACATTTTCTTGATCCACTCATCAGTTGTAAGGCACCTGGTTGTTTCCATAGCTTGGCTATTGTGAATAGTGTTGCAATGAACATCAGTGTACAGGTGTCTGTTGTATCCTAACTTACATTCCTTTGGGTATATACCCAGGAGCGGTATCACTTGATCATATGGCAGTTCTATCTTTAGCTTTTTGAGGAATCTCCATACTGATTTCCATAATGGTTTTACTAATTTGCAGTCCTACCAACAGTGTATAAGTGTTCCTGTTTCCCCACATCCTCACCGGCATTTGTTCTTTTTGCCTTTGAATATGGCCATTCTAACAGGTGAGATGAAATCTTAGTGTAGTTTTGATTTGCATCTCTTTTATAGCCAGGGAAATTGAGCACTTCTTCATGTATTTACTAGGCCTGCTCTTCTAAGGGGCATTGGAGAGGAACCCTTTGTACACCTCAGTAAATACTGTCTGGAGCCAACATCCTTTTCTATTTGAGTCTGGAACCTGTGTTAGAGGCCAGGACTTAATACCATGTTAGTGTAAGGGACATAGCTAACTTCGAGTCCTAAGGTTCTTCTGGTGATAACTTCCCTAGAGTTTTAGTGGGCTTTCAATCATTATTGAATGCACCACTGACTGAAAAATGTGACCAGGAATTTCTATAGGATAAATTTCACCAGGTTGCCTAATGACCATTCCTTTAGAATTTTTGTTATTCATCTTCTTTTCTTACTCCCATTGTTGCCTCCTAGTGGCCTTGTCCTCAAGAGAAAATAAGGAATGATTGGAAAGAGGCTTGCTTACAGGGCAAGAAGCACCTCTTTCCTAGTCTGTCCCTATGAAGCCTTCCCCTTGGCAAGTTATATTCCAATCTATGAAAATATTTCACAAGGGGTTGGAAGGGTTAGGGTTGAACATCAATATGTTTATCCCATTAAAAAACACCGTTCTGTGGGTTTGTTTCCAAATTATTCTGGCTAACTGCTAGATACTCCCAATAGCTAGGCTCCTCAATTTTTCAAGTTCATGAATAATATCTGGACCTACTCTTTAGCATCTTCAGCAGAGAAGATTTCTCTATGAATCATGACTTTCCTGCTTCTTCCTGTTCAAGGCTTGGGCTTCCTGGTGCTGCTAGTTCTGACCTAGCTCTTTGACTCCCAGGGTCCTTTGTTTTTCTTATTTCAAAATATGGAAAAAGGAATTCATATTCTCAATGTTGGTCAGCTGTGCACTCCAGAATAATTACCTCTGGCTTGAGTAATAAGATCTCCAAGAACAAATATGCCACATGTGCCCAGTCCCTTAGGGAATGAAGAAAACGTCCAACAAAGAAACCATGGGCTGGGACCTCTGACCTTGCAAGTGAGACTGATGAACATACAGTGAGCCTTTATAAAATTTTGTTCCCTAAGAAATACATTTTTTTTCAGTGATATTAACTGAAAATGTCTTATGATCCTAGAGATAACATCTGTGTCCACTGGGTAAGATTTTAGTTTGGGGTTTCTTTTTTGAGGAATTGTAACTATAAGAATTAATAGTGTTTAGTCCTTCTTAGGTATCCTCCAAAGTACAAGTTTTACTTTTTAAAAAATAGAGTAAAACTCATATCTTGCCATTCCCATATGGATTCTTTGGGCTCTTATAAGATATATTCTGGGATCTTAGTGATTTAATTTTCTATATCTTTTGAAACATTTTGGTATTTCTTTATCCCAGGAATTATTTAATCATTGCCAATCAGTTGTTCTCAACTATGGTAGAAGAGGGGAGGAACAATGAAATCCCTTAAAATGAATCCTCATACAGTCCAAAGTATTACACCATCTTTCCTGAAAGTCTGGAGAGATACCATCTTTAGAGTCTTGTTTCTCCTTGACCCTTTTAGCTTTTAAGGAATATAGTTATATATAGTTTCATTTTTTGGCCAATACTAGAAGAAAACAGGAATTTGCATAAATATTAAAAGAATCAGAAGATAAATGCAAAGAAACAGGACAGTACTCTAGACCCTAGTGATGGTGGTAAAGCTGATCACATAAGCAAATCTCACCATGACTCTTCAGATGCATATGCTAGATGAGTTTTCTCATACTCAATGAGTGAACCATATGTTTCCAAGTACAGTGCTCTCATCCAGGTACTCAGTAGGAAGGTCTTAATTATGCAATATTTGTGACAAGGACCTGGACCATCTAGTTTTGCTAAATGAATGTTGTGAGTTTCTTTTATGATGTTTATCGCCCCCAAATTTTTAGAGAGTACAGAGATTTCCTATTTCCCCCTCCCCCTATACATACATTGCCTCCTCCATTATCAACTTCATCTGTAGCAGGGAGGAGGACCAGAAAAGAAACAGACAGGCTGTGTTTTGATGAGACAGGGTGAAGGGATGGCAAAGCAGAGAGAGAAAACTTAAAGAATTAAAACATGAAGGTCACATAGCACTGGGAAAATGAAATAACCAATAAAGTCACATGCAGCCACATGTGGATTGAGCTTTGCTTTTTGCTTCTGTAACCTGCTTGCAAGGGTATATAAGATGGTAAGACATCTTTGTTCTCGGGGCTCAGCCTTTGGACACGAGTCCTCTGAGTCAGTGCCACACAATAAAGTGTTGCTTCCTCCTAAATGGCCTCAGTGTCCCATATCTCAGCTT